ACTGCTTTTTCATTTGCAATATCTTTAAGTATTTGACCTAAATAATTTAAATTATTTAAATAATTTATTTTTTAAAAATTATAAATAACTATAAATTACTTATCAGCTCTATGACTACTTTTAAAATATGTAACTAAAGTATTACAATGTCTTAAAATTTTATTAGTAAATGGTATTTTACAAATATCTTTGGAAATAAGATTTATTGCATGAACAATACATCTTAAATTTAATATATGTTTGTATTTTTTGAAGTAATTATAGTACGAGCTACCTGAATATTTGCTCCTGCATCAGTAACAATTGCTATAAATTTTTCTGAACCAAAATAATCAATTATATATTCTATTTCTTCAGCTAAAAGTTTTTTTGTATGACGTTCACTAGTTAAATTTCTAAGTGACCAAAGATATTCATGATGATTTGAAGTATGAATAACAAAATTCCAAATAGATTCGCCTGATAGATTTGTTCAACTACCACAAGCTAAATATATATTTATTGATAATATTTATTATTATTATTATATATATATATATGAAAAAAAAATAATATAATAACTTATATAAAGTTAAATTGTCTTGATTATTTATTTCTGTAATAACTTTTTAATTTGTAATAGCTATTTTTTGAGCTAATAATCTATCAGAAAGAATTTTTTTTGAAGGAGGTGTATATGCTGGACGTAATGTTTTAAGAAGTTCAATAAAAAAAGAATTCTCAATTATTTTCCATGATATTTCACATACTATAAAAGCTTTAACTAGTTTATGATTGATATCTTTAATTCTTTCATCAGTTAATTTTATACTTTCAATAAAATCACTAACTTTTGTTTGTGAATGTTTTTCGTTAAGTTTTCTTTTTTTATTTGGTTTTTTTAAATTATCTTTTACTATTTTTTTTAAAAATAAATATCGAATTTCTGATGGTACCTTTGGACATAAGTTTGCTAAATGATTTTTACATTCTTCTGATGATCCTTTATGTCAATATTTTTTGCAAAAATTACAAGTAGCATTATAATGACCTTTTGAAATCTGTTTTCCTTGTTTAATATATATTCCCCATACTATGGATTTTGGTCTACCTCCTTTATTTGTTTAAATTATTTCTCTTTGTTCATTTTGTTCTATTTGTTCATTTTGTTCTATTTGTTCTATTTATTCTTCTTGCTCAATTAATTCTTCTTGCTCAATTTGTTCATGTTCCTCATACATGATAATTTTTTTAAACTATTTGTTAAAAAAAATTCTTAATGTACATTTGTTTGTCAAAAAAATTAAAAAAATTTTTAAATTTGTCAGATTATCATGGTTACAAAGGTTACACTATCTTAAATAATGTAGTATACGTATCAATTTTTATTAGTATATTTTTATAAAAAATAAATTTAAAGTCATTATTATATAAAATAAAAATTATCTTCAATAAAACTTAAGACTATATAATTAAAGTCAATATTATTTTTCAAGATTACAATTGTAAAATGGTAATAAGAGAAGTATATTATTTATTTTATTTAAAAAAAAATAAAAAAATAAAAAAAAACCTATTTCTACATTCACACAAGTTTACAAATCCAATTTTCGCCTTCACAAACTTAATTCCAGAGAAAGAAGAAGAAAAGTAATAGGGAAAAACAAGGTAAATATATTTTTATAAATAAAAAAATAAAATCAAAAACCCGATTTTCACCTTTACAAGTGTCCTCACAAGCTTAATTATAGAGAAAGGTAATAAGAGAAGAAAAAAGTAAATATATTTTTTCATTTTTATTTAAAAAAAAAAATAAAATAAAATAAAAAAAACTTTGTGTAAACTTTCAAATCTGATTTTCACCTTCACAAGTGTCTCGCGAGCTCAATTTCAGAGAAAGAAGGAAAAAGGTAATAAGGAAAGAGCAAGGTAAGTATATTTTTTTATTTTTATTTAAAAATAAAAAGATAAAAATAAATAAATAATAAAAAAAACTTAACTTTGTATAATACATCCACGCGAATTCACGAACCTGATTTCTGCCTTCACAAGTGTCTCCATAAACCCTTGAATATATTTTTAAGGCAAGAAGAATGGCAATAAGGAAAGAAAAAGGTAAGTATTTTTTTTTTTTTATTAAAAATAAAAAAAAAAAATAAAAATAAGAAACTTACCTTTATATAATATGTCTACGCAAGCCTACGAACCCGATTTCCACCTTCACAAGTGTCACACAAACCCTTAAACTTATTTCCGAGGTGAGAAGGAGGAGAAAGATAATAAGGGAAGAAAAGGTAAGTATCTTTTTTTTATTTATTAAAAATAAAAAAAAAATAAAAATAAGAAACTTACCTTTATATAATACGTCTGCGCGAGCCTACGAACCCAATTTCCACCTTCACAAGTGTCCCCACTATACTTGCACGCAAAATTATTTTGGAGCCCTGAAATTGCAATTTTGGAGAAAAAAGTTGAAATAATTTTTCATAAAAGATGAAATTATTTTACTTAAAACTTAAAATTTTTTGACCACCCAAATTTATTCTTTGATTAAAGATACATATAACTAGGTACTTTTTTTACTTCCATATATAGAATAGATTTTGTATAAATCTCAAAAAGTCGAAATACCTCAAAAATTAAAAATCAATTTTGGGAACATGTATAGTTAGTATGATTCTGTTTAACAGCATTCGTGTATTCGTTTCCTTGGAAAGTAAATTTTTTCTTCATATTATTGAATGTTGATAGTTGGTATCTTTTGTATATTCTTCCGAATTTGTTAAAGGCTTGTTCTTGCCTTTTTTCTCTTTCTTGCCTCTGCTTGTTTATTGAATAGTTAGCGATCAGGTGATTGTGGGCTTTACATACGTGACAAGTTTTTGTCAATTTTGATAAAGAAGTTAAGTGGTAACCACTAATTATTACACTTCCTTTTAGAAATTCTTATACATGTTCTTCTGATGGAAAGGTTATAAATACTATCCCTCTTTTGTTTGCTCTGGAGTTTATAGGCATATAATATGTTTCAGCTCCTGATTGTTGGAGTATAATCATTAGTTCTCTAGGGGTTATCCCTGGTAGAATTTCTACTATTTTTGCTGCTGGTTGTGTTTTTTGATTTTCTATAAGTTATTTGTATATAACATTAGCTTGTGTTACTCTTAAGCATTCTTCTCCTAAGATTATTGCTTTTCGGATGAGGATTTCATATGCGATTTGTGAGTCCTGAAAATCTATCCAATAGGTTGTATACAGACCATTTACTCTCATCCTTGTTTCTTTTATTTGGCCATACTAGTTGTTGATCATTCTATTTATATCTTGTCTACTATATTTGATTGGTACATCCCATAGTTTCATGGTATTATCTGTATTTCTTTGTGTTCTTGTTTGCTGAATAGGGGTTCTTTTCATTTTAGTTGTTTTTCCTTGTTCTGTTATTTTTAATTCGATTTCTAGGATTTTTTTCATATCCTTTTTATTGAAAAAAGTCATGGTTATATATAATTTTTTGTTTAATTTATTTAATTCTCGTGAGATAGTTATCCATTTGGCAGATTTTCCAATGGTTTCTACCAAGTTGTCTATTTTTTCCTTGGTTCCTTTGCCATTCAGGATATTTGTTTCTACTCATGCTTTGTATCTCTTAGCGTTCACCTCAACTCTCCATTTTTCTTGGTCTGAAAGGTTTTCGTCATTGTTAGAGTTAATCGATTCTAGGTCTAATGGGTTTTCTTCATCGATATCTTCTTTTACTTTTTCTTTTCCTTTATAGTTGGTTCTTGGATTTTTGTTTTTTTGTTCTTTCCTGTTATCTTTGTTGTTTCTGATTAATGCTTCTTCTTGTTCTAGTTCGTTTTCTTGGTTTTCTTCTTGTTTTTGGTTTTCATCTATAATTTCTACTTCGTCCATGTCTTGGATTTCAAAAGTTTCTACTTCTTGAGTTTTTTCTGTAATTTCTTGGGTTTTCTTTAATATTTCTTTATTGTTTGTTTTTTGGCTTATAGCCTTTTTGGTTTTATTATGTTTTTTGGTCTCAGGGGGTATCTTTGTTAAAGTTATTTGTTATTTTTTGTTTCTTGTTTTCCTCTGAAAATTTTGGTTATGATGATCAGTGGAAAGAGTTACTTACTTAGACGTGAATAAAAACAACTGAAATTTATTAAAAATTTTAAAAAAATAAAAAAAATACGAAAATAATTGTCAATTATTTATACATATAAATATTTTTTATTTACTAAAATAGTAATAAAATTAATACTAAGTAATATTATAGCTAAGAATATGTAGCATCTTTTCTGAA